ACCAAGGTCATGACCTTGGTGTCCAGCCCACGGCCGCCTTTCTGCCGCGCCGCCCAGGCAGGGGAGGGGGTGGGAGTGCGCCCGGGGCTGCGCTTCGCTGTGACCAGGTGCGGCGTCCTGGCCCAGGTTCCTTCGCGGCTGGTTGATGGGGCAGCTAGGGTCCAAACCAGGAAAGCGCACCCCGAATGTAGCGCCTCTCCCTGAGCTCAAGCTTCCTCCGTTACACCGTACACATGGCAAGGCCTTGGGAGGGCGACAGGAATTGAAACGAGGTCGAAATCGCGTGGAACTCGTACTGTAGACGCAGCCTGGGGCGCGAGGGTCAAACCTTGCGCGTTGCGGGGCTCGCCCTGACTGGCATACGCCGACACCTTGCGGCCTTAGACGGAGACCCGTCGGTAGACACCTGCCTGGCCTTTGACTAGGACGGGCTTTGGAAGCACCCGGTGCGGGGAAGCCGACACGCAGCTGGGCAGTCTCGGGTGGAAAGGCGGGCTCCGGGCCTGCTCTTGGCTAAATGCTGGGAGCACCTAGCCGGAGGCGGAGGGCGAGTAGCTGGCAGGCACCGTCCCGCGCCGCGGTGGTCCAGGGCGGGGCCAGGCCTCCAGGTGACTGCCGTTTCTGGCCGGCGTGGCAGCAGCCCTTTCTGGCGTCGCCGCCAGCCTTTACTCATTCTTTTCCACAGCAGGCACAGGCTGGGCCCTTTGTCAGTCTCCTGGGGCTCCTGGAGAGCCCTGTGGGACAGCTGAGGTGTCCCTGTCTCACAGGAGAGGACAGAAGCAGATCAGCCAGAGCTGTGCTGCAGCCCAGGGTCCTCTAAACACCCCTCCTCACTTACTGTGCCTGGGGAGGGGGGTCCACAGCAGCATCTGCACTGGCTCCCGGAGGCTGGGCCTTCCAGGGGCTCCTGTGGGTCCTGTTTGAATCCTCGCAGGCACTGTCTCAAGGCAGGTGACTGTTTCTTGGACCCTGTGCAGTCCCAGCATCCCAGTCTGAGGGCAGACCTCCCTGCAAGAAAAGGGACAGGGCCACACCCTGCCAAGTCTCTCACAGGGACTAGCCACGGGGCGTCCCTTGGCCTCAGCGCATCGCCCCTGGGGAAGAGCAGAGTGCTGGGTCTTGGAGCAGGCGCCACGAGCCTGTGGCTTCCAGGTTGCCCAGGAGCCCAGTCCTGCTTGCTGCCATAGGACTGGGCACCTTTCTCCAAGCACTTAGTGAACGCAGTTAAGTTGGGGAGCATTCTCAGGTAAAAGCCAGACCCCACCACAGCCTTCACGGCCTCACACGCCTGACGTGCCTTCCCTCTCGTGGGCCAGCGTGGCACTTTATGTAACAGCATTCGCTGCTCAGCACCGCGCACAGTTCACACCGGCTTCCTCGTCTGCCTCCTTGTCTGCCTCCTCGTCTGCCTGGTGAGCAACCTGGGCAGCTCTAGGTAGCTGTCACAGGAGGTGGCAGCCACCGTGGCCTTCCCACCCCTCCCAGCTCTCCAAGTTCACCTGGCGTTGGGTCTTGGCACATGCGGTACCTCTGCCCGGAAGCCCAGAAGTCCTGGCTCTGGCTTGATTCTCAGCTCCTAGTACAGCGTCCAGCACCCGGTATACGCACAGTTCACATGCAGCCACACAGTCCGCGTGGCGGTGGCTTGAGGGGGGCCGTCTGCCCTTTGAGCAGGCTGGGCTTAGGGAGGAGCTGGTGCTGTGAAGCTGGCAGAGCTGAGGAACGTGGGGACACTGCAGGGAGGGCTGGCTGAGGAACGTGGGGAACACTGCAGGGAGGGCTGGCTCCATGCAGCCGGAGCAGCGCTGTAAGGGGCAGGTTGTGGGGCTGCAGGGGAGGTGAGGACAGCCTAAGCATCTTTTTCTTTTAATTATTATTTATTTAATTTTATTTATTCATTCATTTCTTTTCATTTGACCAGAGAGAGGGAGAGGGAGAGGGAGAAAGGAAGCCATCAGGTCTGGGACTTGAACCGTGGTTGGCCATGTGGGAGTCCAGCACCCTTAACCACAACACCACCTGCTGGTCCCCAGCCTAAGCATCTTCAAGGGAAATGAGAAGTGCTTCGGCCTCATCCTTCCTGGCAGTTACCAGCCTGTTAGGTGGAGGTGACAGAAGTTAGTTTGGGGTTCATAGCAGAGATCAGAAGTGTTGCTGTTCCTTGAGACTTACACATAAAAGTGAAGTTTAAAAGTTCAGAACTTAATGGCTTCCCCAGTCAAATCCATAATTAAAGAGTAACTTTTGTTCATTAAAATGAACTTCTGTCATAACTGGCAGCTCTTACAACACGGCCTCCTCTTCCTGTGTTGTAGGTCCGTATTTGGTAAGAGACTTCACTGCTCAACTGGCCAGTGTGGGCTGAGCTGAGCACTAGTTGCTCTGACCCTGTTCCCTGTCGGTTTTAAATGCCAAGAGCCTTTAACGTGGCAATGAAAGTGTACTAGTTTTCCGTTTAGAGGTTCAAAGAAGGACACGTGACGTGGGGCCCACATTCATACAAAACAGCCTTGGCCGGGGCGGGCGGGGGGAGCGCTCCAGGGTGCACAGAGTGAGAGGTGACAGGGACAGGTTGGACCCGAAGATCTCTCGTGCTGTGGGGAGTAGGTCTGGCACAGGAGGGGTCGCTGTTGGGGAGTCCTGGGAATGGGGGAGGACCTAAATGAGAATCTCTGACCGGTTCACCTTGGCCAAGTAGTCATCTAAACACTTATCATGTCCATTTGCAGATGCTTCAAAGCATTATTAAAAACGTCTGGAATCCCATGAAGCCCTACTATACCCAAGTCTACCAGGAGATCTGGGTAGGAATGGGACTGATGAGCCTCATCGTTTATAAAATCAGGAGTGCCGGTGAGTATGTCTGACTCATTAGAGGTCAGGAGACGGTTATTTTCAGTAAGTCCTAACTCATACTGTGAAGAGACTATGGTTCTGGCCCGCCCACGGTGCAGTGCTTAGGTGCTGTGCGTCGGGAGCCAGAGCCCACGTGGCCAATCAGGTTCGGTCCCAGCCTTGGCCTCCAGTGGCCTGAAAGATGCCGGGCATGAGTGTATCTGTGCCCAAAATCCTAATTGAGGCAGGAGGAGTGGCATGAACATGCCCTATCCATGGGAGCTATCTCTCTGTCTCTTTGGCAAACACTTGTCCCCTTGGGTAATACAAAAAGAAAAGAAAATGTTCTTAACTAGGCATGGACAGCAGAATCGCCTGTGGTCCTTTGTGAAAATGCTGGAGCACGTGTTATCCGCTGTCAAAGGCACATGGGGACAGTTAGGGAAATTTGAAGGAAGCCATGAGGTTGGAGAATTGTGACTTTCTTTAGGTATGAGGGTGGCGTTCTGGGGCATAGCATTAGGATACATGGCGTTTTATTCTGCCATTTCAGCTCTTCAATATTAAAATGTTTTTGTAAATTAAAAAATTATGTTATGAAAAATTTGTTTAAAGTTTTCATAACACAATTCGGAATGAGAAATAACCATTGGTCCTTGGTAAAGCAGAGATAGGCCCAGGTAGGTATGGTTAAGCCTCTGATTAAGAAGACTGGACTGCAGGCTGGCATTTGGAAATGGTGGGGAATCGAGAGCTGGGCACAATCAGAAGGCCCTGGACTGCTCGCAGGTCTGGTAGAAATGTCACCCCTCCATGGCTGTGAGATGCTACCATGGCTCCCAGTGTTCTGAAAGCTGCCCAGAGGGTTTTCACCTGAGCTGCGAAGCTTCCTGGCAGATATGGACGATGGAGGGGATTTTGTGAAGTACTCATATGACCGATCTTTTTCCTTCCTTTCTTTAGACAAAAGAAGTAAAGCTTTGAAAGGTAAGATTTGTGCCCAAAATGGTTGGGGGGATGAGAAACATACCATTTTAGGACGAGGTATGTCGTTGCTCTGGGTTGAAACTGATGTGTGGGTCATTGAATGTGTGCGATGCACTGAAGCCCTTTGGAACGGAGGTTCGTTGTGTCCTCCGGGAGGGTTGTGAGTTCCTGCTTTCTGTGGTCTTAATGTCAGAGACCACTGCCCCGTTCGTGGCGTGAACTCAGCTCATAGGCATAGAAGCCAGTGGGTCCGAGGCGGTGCCCCACACCAGCAGGGAAGCACAGGTGTGCAGGCACACTCCGGTGACCACCCTGAGCTGAGTGCCAGAGCACCAGAGCCCTGCCCCACCGCCACAGCAGAAAAGTCCACACTTGCCCTGGTGGCACATCACCACCGTGCAGCAACAGCGTGTGAGATTACCGTGTGGGGCCAGCCTGGTGGCACGGTCCATAGCAAACTGAGCTGCAGTGCTGGAAACCTCGGGGCCGGCCACTGGTGGCTACCGGGATGGGCGTGGCCAGGGTCCCAAGAAGCAGCAGTGCTGTAGAGGGGTCGCAGCCTGGCGAGACCACCACGGCGTTCCTCTCACCTGGCCTGCGCGTGCTCGCTGTCGTGCGTAAAGCACTTCTGCAGACCTTTTCAGAATCACCTTGAGGCTATGCGTGCCAGGTGTATGTGAACCATAAATGAACTGTGTGTTTCAGCTTGGGTCCTATCCCCAAGATACCTCATTATGTACTCACAAATATTTCCAAATCTGAAAGAATCCAAAGCTTGAAACACTGCTGGTCCCACCATTTCAGGTGAGGGATGTTTAGCTTGTATCTTAAGAAGATGCCCAGTGATGTAGTGATGAAAGGCGGCACCTTGTCAACTCATGCCCTGGTGCCAGACCTGTCTTCACTTCCTTCCCCAATGACAGTGAAGCTAGGGGGTCATTTGAGTTTTGTTTTGTTTTTGTTTTTGTTGTGTGTGTGTGGGGGGGGGTTGCTATAGGGCACATGTGCTCACCAGAAAGACAGAGAGACAGAAAGCGAGAAATCACCCCCACCCCCCGGGGGGATGGCCATGTCGCAGTCCCTTCTCCTCCATTCTCTCGGGATCTTGGGCACCCGTGCACACACGCCCGGCATGAGCTTAAGCCACCAGGTCTGGGACTCCAACCGAAGTCAACTACATGGTAGTCCAGCGACATAGCTGTTAGGCCAACTGCTGGTCCTAGGCGTTTGAGTCTTAAACAGACCCAGGACTGTCTCCCGAGCATGGGGGAAAGATGTTCCCTGCTCGCTCACTTGGCCCTGCAGGTGAGCTGCTGTGTCATTAGCTCACACCCTCAGGCCCTGGACGTTCCAAGCAGAGATACTAAAAATTACCATTTACACTTTGATTTACTGATTCCTATATGAGAAGACTTCAAAAAGTTTGTGGAAATAGGGCTTAAAATGGGCTGGCCCCATGGCCAAGTAGTTACTGAAGCCAGATCCTACATGGCTGACAGCAGTTCGAATCCCAGCCCCAGAGGCATGAAAAACACCTGGACGTGTGTGTGCACACATGTCCCCAATACCAGTAGGAGGGAAGGATGGAGGGGACAGGGTCCCAGCATGACCACAGCCCATTGAAGATGGGGATGCCTTCTCTCTTTCTCTCTCTCACATGCCCTCTGGTAATTTGGGGGTGGGGGATAGAATTAAAGCAGGTTCGTTGGTGCAGAGAAACTTGGAGGTCCATGCATAGTTCTTCATAACGTGCATTGTCCGTGAACTTTCTGGATCCAGCCCTCCCCTTCTGTAATGCACTGCATCCTACCTCCTCTCTAAGCTGTACCTGTATCATCCATCTGTTTCTAAAGGTTCAAGCCCCTCGTCTGGTCACGGTCATCACTAGCCAGCTCTCCTGGAGCGCACACGAGAGGGCACATCGGCCTGCCTGTGAATTGGAGCTCTGCTGGACCTGTCCGCGCCCTTCACCTCGGGGCGTGAATAAATGTCTGCAATGCATCGCTGTCCACACGGGTCCTGCTTTCCATGCGCATCCAGGGCTCCCGCATGCCAGGCCTGCTCCGGCAGGGTGTCCGTGCACAGCGGCTGCACTGGCAGTCGCTCCTGTTGTTGGGCCTCGGGCAGCTGCAGCCCCGAGGAGTGGCGATGGCGTCGCTGTCGGTGCCCCTCAGAAACAGACACGGGGTGCCGCCCAGCCCGTGTTCTCCTTTGGAAAACGGAGATGTTCATTTTGGAGGTTCTAACTTAGGGTTGTTCTGAGGATTAATAGAATGGATATGAAAGCGTTTAAACTGCTTCAGAAATAGCATTCGGTCACTTGGCAAAATTATAAACTGTCAGGAAATCATTTATAAGGCAAAGTACATGATGTATCGGGTCGTCAAAGCAGTCATGCTGCACTTTCTATGCATTTATGTGTCACGACTTTCCCAAGGGCCCAGTAGAAAAGCCCAGTGGTGTTTTCGCTAGCTGCTGCTGTCGGCCAAATGCCGCAGAAGTTTCCTTCTCGGGCAGTAACACACATGCCTGGCATTGCGTGCAGAGGATCCTAACGAGTAGGTGTTGGGGGAGCAGTGGCCGAGGAGCTTCGGGGCTTCACAGTCCCCAGCAGCCCAGCTGTGGGTTGAAGCAGTGGCTGCTGGTCCTCTTGAGAGCTGTTCTCTGTGTCTCTGGCGCTCAGCTTCAGGCCCAGCGGGTGCCGTGTAGTCGCACAGCTCACTGTGGCTCTCACGGGCCTCAGTCCCTCCACTACAGCCGGCATAAGGCCTACCTATCTACCTCACTGACCAGGGAGTCAGTGCTGGGTCGGAGCATCGGGGTCAGGAACCACCTTCCCCTGTTAGCATGTGGGCGGGTCTCACCCGCGGCCAAGCCAGCCCTAAGGTGCGGGATTCACAAACCGCTCCTCTGCACCTGCTCTGGCATCAGCAGTGCAGTCACTGCCTCAGAGGGCCCTGCAGACTCAGCGGCCTCGGGAGCCTAGAAGATCGGGACAGGCTGGGGCATTTTGAGAACTGCTGGCCACGCAGAGAATGGGACCTGGACACCCAGCAGAGCCCTCCTGTCCTTGCTGCGGCAGCTGCTGTCCAGGCACTGCCCCCAGACCCCGGTCTTGGGTTACACATCATAGTGCGCTTAGTCCCAGGGCCAATGCAGCCCTGACGCTGCCACCGATACGGCGGAGGGAGAGCCAGGTGAGCCGTGGCGTCACAGTGAGCATGGCCTGTGTGTCTGTCCCCAAGGGCCGGGCCTATCCCCTTCACTACCTAAGGGTTCCCTCGGTCCCAATTGTCGGGGTAAATGCGGATTCTCTTGTGAGGGATGTTACTGGCATGGGCCAGCTGCCCATACTGTGCCCTCTGCTGAGCCGGGTGGGAGCCCTGGAATGGTATTCGCTAGCCCAGAGCCTGCTTAGGCTGGGAGGGAGAACCCAATCCCTCTGGGCTGTGGGGACACCCAGGTCAGGTACTGATAGTGGCCTGTAGGTGGAGCCAGAGTGCTGCCAGACTCCCAGCTCCCCGAAGGAGAGGACCACAGCCACCTGCCCCTGGGCTGTGCTGCACACCCAGGAAAGGGGACCCTGGTTAAGGAGCACCAACTGGTGCTGGTGGAAGAAAGGCCTGTTCCGGGAACTGCAGAAGCAAAGGGCGCCTGGGCCTCACCCACAGGGAGCAGCCATTGTCAGGAAGGAATTCCAAAGAGGCTTGCCCCAAAGCCCACATGCATCTGCAGAGCAGAGTACCTCAAGGCACCCCAAGGCAGAGAAGATGCCCTTGCCATCCGCACTGGCAAACCTGGGAGAGTGGTTCCCGCAGCACGATGGGCCAGCCCTTCCCCCTGCTTTGCCGTTAACTGAATCCACAGGTGCCCCGTGGGTTCCTGCCGTGACCAACCACGGAGGAAAGGGCTCGGCCATTACAGTTGCCATGGTGGAGGGTACCTGCCTTTCGGTGCACAGGCTGCCCACTTGGGAGAGGCACAGCACGACGCCCGACTGGCTTTGGGCAGGTTGGACCTGCCGCTCTGCAGTCCCTTCAGGAGCTTCCCCGCACCCGCCACGTGGCCATCAGGGATGCCCGGTGATTGCAGTTGCTCTACTTCCAAAGTTTAGAGACCAGAGAGCAGACCGGAACGCGTCCTGGCGGGGCGCCCGGTGGTGCCACAGTGCCGCAGCGGCTTGCCTGCACTGCACCAGGCCTGGGCAGCAGCCCGTGCCCACCCCACAGCCAGCCCTGACAGGCGGACTTGGCACAGCTCCTGCTCAGATGGATCAGTCTCCCAAAGCCATTTCTGGGATATTTAGGAAAATCTGAACATGGGTTGGGTGTTTTGTGATAGCAGAGAGCTGTTCACTTTTCTAGGTTACTCACCACCACAATGATGGTGTTGTCGTCTTTGAAGAAGTGCCTGGTTTGGGATATGCAGCTGCAATTATGTAGGTATGAAGTGGTACCTAGAATGTACTTTAAAACACATGAGCTGGGTCAGCCGGTGGTCCCATGTGGTCGACTGTGCGTACAAGTCCCAGACCTGGGGCTTGAGAAGCACTCCAGGCACACGCGTGTGCATGCCCCAAATCCCTGGGGAGGGGAGGGGATCGCATCGTGGCCATCCCCCCTGAGGAGCGTCCTCCCTCTCCTGAGGGGTGCCCTCCCCCCCCCCCCCCCCCCCCCAGCGAGTGCACACACCCTATAGCAAAATTTCACAAGATAAAAAATAAGACACATCAGCAAATACTAGCCAGTAAAGCAAGCGGGGGCCTGAGTGTCAAGGTTGGCCGAGACGTGCACAGTAGGGGCGTGAGTGCATGGGGGTGTGTGGCACAGCTCTGTGCTGATACATTTTACCTTCTCCCCGAGACCAGCTCTTTCTAACACTAAAGCAAAGAGCAGAAGCCACGCAGTCGAGCCCTAGCTGGTACTGCAGTGGCCACTAGAGAGGCCTCCACACCAGGCGCTGGGCGGTGCGCGAGGCCGAGGCGCCCGGCGGTTGGAGCATCAGACGCTGCGCCTCATCACCGCTGCTCCTCGCGTGAGGCGGGCGGGTGCCAGGTCTGCTGCTAGGACGGAACAGGCTCAGCTTTTGCGTGTGTCCCACCGAAGCATGATTTACCATCGCTCTGAGAGAACATAGGCCCACGTCTAGAGGGACGAGGGTGACATCGTAATACTTTGATTAGGAACAAAATATATTTTAATCAAATTTACAACTCAAAACAGACGTCCCTAACGTAAAATGTCTCTATGCTGTCATCTTGGTCTGCGTTCTCCTTTTCAAAGCTAACACATTTGGGAACCAGCAGTTAGCGTAATGGCTATGTCGCTGGACTCCCACGTAGTCGACCGTGGCTTGTGGCCCGGACCCGGTAGCTTAAAGCTCACGCAGGGCGCGTGTGCGTGCATGCCCAAGATCCCGAGAGGAGAATGGAGAAGGGATCGCGGCGTGACCATCCCCCCTGGGGGGTGATTTCTTGCTTTCTGTCTCTGTCTTTGTCTGTCTGGTGAGCGCACGCGCCCTATAGCAAAAATCTCTCAAAAAAAAAAAAAAAAAAAGCTAACACATTTGAACTTTTCCTGCCATCTCTAAGTATGAAAAATTATTTCATTCCACATTAAAAAGATGAGGTTTTGCGATTTGAAAACATTCACTATCGTGAGCTGAGCATTGTTTGGCTGAGGAAAAGTTGGATTTACACATCGTTTTTGTTTTTAATTTCGCTACAGAGAGCATGTGCTTGCTGGAGAGAGACAGAGACCAAGAGCACAAGGGAAAGCAAGAGAAAGTGAGGAAGCACCCCAGGGGGCATGGCCACGCACAGCCCCTTTTCCTCCAGTCCCCTTTCAGGAGCTGGGGCACACATGCTCACACACCTGGTGTGATTTTTCAAGCCTCAGGGTCCAGGACTTGAACCGCATAACTGGCCATGTGGGATCCATCCCGCTCACCTCCACTGGCTGGCCCATATATATATAGAAAACGGTAAAATAATTTAAAAATGAATTTGAGCATTTTGTAGTTGGGGATCTTAGAAACCTTAAGAAGAGCCCAAGGTTAGGCAGGCCTCTGCTGTGGGCGGTGAGCTCACCCTTCTGAGCGGCACTCCCGGCCCCGCTGGCTGCTAGAAGTAGGGGAGCAGGCTGGGTTTGAGCCAGCAGCCAGCGAGGCAAGCTGCCACCTCGCGCCAGCACCAGACCGTGGATAGGGACTTTCTCATGGCAAGCGATTCAGGTGCCCAGGACGGTTCACCAACCCCACGGACACCTACACTCCAGGGACATCTTCGTGAGGACGGTGGCTCCCAGGCAGGAGGCAGGCAGCCGGCAGCATGGCCCCCGCCACTGCACCCTGCACCGAGCCCTGCTCACCTTCACTGGCCACACTTCCTGAACCCTGCAGGGTGCCTGCTGGGCCGGGAGCAGGGCCCGAGGGGAAGTAAAAGGTGCTGTGCCCACCTCAGTAGAGACCGGGGTCACAGTGTTGGGCTGGGAGAGTAACAAGCAACTGGAGAGCTGAGGAAGGTTGGGAATGGTGAAGTAGGCTCCTGATATTTTAAAAATTACAATAAACATCAAATATGGTGCACAGGGTATTTCTCTGGCTTTATTATGACATGTAAAAAGTTTTCCTATTACTTGTGGTCTCTGACGGTAGATTTACTAACGATTTGATCTTGTGGCAGTTTTTAAAGCCAGTAATGTATGTGACAGGATGACTGTAAGTCGCAGACTTTTTAAAAAGAGATTTGCTATAGAAAACATGCACTTGCCAGAAAGACAGCAAGACAGCAAGAAATCACCCTCCCCCAGGGGATGGCCACACCACAATCCCTTCTCCTCTCCCCCACTCTCCTCTTGGGATTTTGGGCACACATATACATGTGCCCGGTGTGAGTTTTGAAGTCTCTGGATCTGGGACTTGAACCACGGTGGACTACATGGTAGTCCAGCGATGTAACCATTATGCCATCTGCTCCCCACTGACATACTGAAAGCAAGAAC